TGCCTTATATATTCTGGATATTAATCTATGTCAGATGAATGAATTGCTGGCAAAGTTTTTCTCCCCTTCTTCAGGCTGTCTCTTCACTCGGTTCATCATTTCCTTTGCTATGTAGAAGCTTTTTAATTTGATACAATCCCATTTGTCAGGAAATTGTTGTCTGTGCCAACATCTTGAAGTGTTTCCCTATGTTTTCTCCTGATAGTTTCAAATTTTCAAGTCTTATATTATTTGACCCATTTTGAGTTGATTTTTATACATGGTGAGAGATAGGGGTCTAGTCTTCACCTTCTACCTATGGATATCCTGTTTTCCCAGCACTGCTTGTTGAAGAGTCTGTCATTTCTCCAGTGTATGTTGTGGCATTTTGTTGAGACCAGTTAGCTGAAGATGTGTGTATTTATTCATGGGTCCTCTATTGTGTTCCATTGGTCTACATGTCTATTTTTATGTTAATGCCTTGGCATTTTGGTACTGTGGATCTGTAGTATGTGTTAAGATCAGGTATTGTGATGCCTCCAGCATTGCTCTTTTTGCTCAGTATTGCTTTGGCTATTAGGCATCTTTTGTGCTCCCATATGAATGTTAGGATTTGTTTTTCTAGTTCTGTGAAGAATAGACCAGTTTTAAAGAATCCAATATAATTTAGGAACGGCAGTTCAAAACTGTGCCAGTGACTATAGGATTTGCATTGGTAAAGAAAATACATGTTAATGTAATGTGTGTCTTCAATCATCCAAAGTAATTGCTGAAAATGTCATTCATTTAATACCTGATTTTGAATATTTGGGATTAACATCATTTCTCCAAGGTGGGTGAATTTTAACACCAACTATTTGGGGCTCTATACAAATAATCTATGTGTATGGAGAGCTGAAATTCTTAAAAATTAACCCTTAAGTGATATTACTTTTTAAAGTGTTTAAATAATTTTTAAACATGTGCTAGAAGACCATTTCTAATTGTATTAATAATGCATTCTGATGAGCCAAAATAAACCTTTTCTCCAAGTTAAAACTTGTTTCTGGTATAAGTGAAAATTTGAGTTTAAAAGCAGTTTTACTTATCAAATTTGGGTATATACATTATTATTATTAACAAATAAGGCCATTGGAGAAGAAAATTAGTATGCATTATGTGCAAGTCAAGTCATTTAAATCAAATGTTTATTGAACATCTGGTTTGTGTCCATGAGATATGTTGGCCTATGTGCTAAGATCTATATTTGAATACCCCAAATAAGAGTTTGTTGAAGTAGTATTGTTCAGCATTAAATTATATTTTGTTGAAGATGAGTGCCATGAATGTTTATGTTTTTGTTTGTTTGTTTTGGTACTGGGGATTGAACCCAGTGGCGCTTAACCATTGAGCCATATCCCCAGCCCTCATGAATGTTTTTGAATATGTATTTCCTTGCAATTAACACTATGCCAAGTTCTATGTCTTTTTAGTTACATTGCTCTTTAACAAGGTTTATGGAAGTATTATGTTATTATCACTACTACTACTATTATCAGATTTACATAAATTTGTAGCTAGTTAATGGCTGAACCAGGCCTAGACTTTAAGACACCCATATGCAGATCTTTTAAATACCTCATATTCTCATCCCCTGAGGAAATCTTATTCAGAATTGTTGTCATTATTAACATTATTAGGTAAATATCTTTAATCTACATTTATTTAAAACATTGTTCACCAAACAGCAGGCTCCATTTCATATGTCCAGAATGTTATTAGGGAAGAACTGTCATCTCTGCCAACATCAACAAATTTGTGAAAGGAGGCATTCAGAGGCTTCTGGATATTTATGACTCTGTACATACTTATAAAAAGAGTCATTAAGAGCCTTCTAAATATTGAGGCAAGCCCCCGAGACTACAGGATGGGATGCATTCTTGTCTATGAGTAAATGTTCAAGAATTATATATTGGCCAAATTCTATTGTTATATTGTGTCCATATGTGAAAATGTCACAACAAATCCCACTATTATGTACAACTATAATGTACCAATAAAAAATATTAAAAGAAAGCATTATGGGCTAACAGTACATTTGAAGAGAATGATATATATCCATTTTTACTAAATAGACCTCTTTTCACTGAGAAGCTTTAGGGAATTTATTTTTTAACATTTTCTGAAATAATGATTGTGGAGTAGACTCAGGAAAGCTGGAGGCCTGAGTCTTTCAAACCCAGGCTGCTCACCTGCCAGGCCTCCACCCCCCTGCCCCACTCCATGGTGAGAATTACAGTGCCCAGAGTTGGGTGCAGGAAAAGCACAGGAGCACAAAACAGAAAGAGGTCATGATTTTGCTAAAGACTTTTGAAGTTGTTCATTATTTTGTTAAAGTGTGGCTACTTGTGTGCTTCTTCCTTCCCAACTGTCTGAGCAGGGATCTTACCTTTTCTGTACAGCCAAGGGCCAGGTAAAGTGCCATGCACAGAGCAGGCTCTGAATAGATGTTTGCACTTACTGACAAAAAGATTAGATTTCCATTTGTCAGGAGTTATTCTAAGTGTAACCTTCCTAGAAGATAATAACATTTACTTTGTGAATATTTTTCTAGGATTCTCACCCCTTACTGTGATAAATCCTTTGGGCAGTTAGGAACTATAATTTTTGATGAAGGTCCCCATTGTTTTAAGACATTATCAAATACAAAAGTACATTTTGAGGTAGTGTCATTAACTCATTGCAAAAATGCAATGGTCAAACAGGCAATCCAGTTGGCTTACTGATTTTCTTGGAAGTGTGTGGAACAATGACCCTTAATATAGCTTATGGATAAATCACTTGTGTTTTAGTGGACTGCATTTCACTCAAATTTTATTAAAATCTCGCTGTGAGCTTCAGTTAGGTAACTAATTATACACAGGTACTGGTATAAAAGCATATGGGCCAGGTAACTGAAGTAATTGAACAAGATGGTCATTTCTCCTCCAGCCCCAGATGGGTACCACAGGTAGAGACTACATCATTTGGTCTCTTCTGTATGATTCAGAAAGATATTAAATGTTGACCTTTGCTTTAAGTTTTAAATAAAATATTTTTAAATAAAACTAAACATTAAATAGTAAGTTATTGTTTTAAAATGAACCTTTGTCGGCATGCTATCTTCTTGTGCAACAGTCAAGATAAAAATTTCAATTCTAAAATAGAAAATAGTATAAAAACACAACTCTGTATCTGGAATAAAAGAGAACAATTTTTCCTTAGCTGATAATTTGCTGTGAACTGTGCTTGTATAATGATGATACATTTTGGTATGGAGCTTATTGAATTATTCTTGATACTTCCACATCTGAGAAGACACTGTTTTAATACATTAAATCTTTTTTGTATTAAATCTTTTTTTCTGTTACCTGTGTACTTTTCACTTGGAAAATATTGTAGTATATTTACATTCATGTATACACTCGGCTAGAAAAATCTCAGACACCAAGATAGCCTCTCTAGAGGTCTGGGTACATGAGCAATGTGTCTATAGAAAAAATTGTGTTTTCATTTCAGCAAGTTTTTCCACAGTGGGTCCGAATGGTATTTGCAGATTGCCAATTGGTCAATTCAAATCAAAGGCTGACAATGGCAAACCTCATGAATTAGTCTTTCCACAAATCATTGTACTTGGCAGCAAGCAGACATCCTCTGATTTACAGTTATTTGGAATTCGAAGGATGATCTGTAGCTGTTAACTGAAGAGAAAGACAAAGGGCATAATCCTTATGAAGTTCTTTCTATTGGTGAAACACTATACCAGGTACTTTAAATATTAGCCTATTTTAATCCTTACAGTAGCTCTTAGAATAAGATAGCTATCTCATTTTACAGATGATGAACCTGAAGTTCAAAAACATTAATTATCTCAAGGTCACAAGGATAATAGGAGGGGACCTAGGATTAAAATACTTCTGCCTGATTCATTTATCCATTCACTCTGGTATTCATTTGACAGGGATACGTTTGTGTGGTTAGTGGAGAAATACAGAAATGCACAATTATCACATCCTCCTCATGCTCATTAATTTACAACCATTTAAACAAATAATTACAAAGGTCATGTGCTTTCTACCACACCAAACTACTGAACATTGATTGCAGTTTAGGTTCTTAATCTTATGAGAATAATAGAAATTAAAATATAAAAACCTGTTAAGGAAAGCTGTACTCTGTACTTTAGGATCTGAACCAAAACCATGATGTATACTTGCTTAATAAAAACACTAATGAACATTGGGTCTTGATTTTTCTTTTTTAAAAAATGTTATTCTTGCTGATTTTTATTAAAGTATAAAAGCAATTACTAGCTTATGAAAAGTTCTTTTTAGTGATACAACATTATTATTTGCATCTGTGAATATCTTAACCACATAAAACCCACTTCAATGTATATTTTTACTTGCTCTTTCTAACAATCCTGGCCAAACCTAATTCTTTGGGATCCTAGTTCTAATTCTTCAGAATCCTAGTTTCTTGGCGCTCATAAAAAATTATGGTTTTTTTTAATTTTTTAAAAAATTAATAGATATTTATTGAGCTGCTGCTATGTGCAGTGCACTCTGCCAAACACTTTGAAGAAATAAAATTATTTTTATAAATTCAGTTCTTTGCTCTTAAATGATTTAAAAAATTCAGCCCTTCGTAAATCATATGTAAGAGGCTGATCAATCTGCTGATAGGAGCAATAGATGTAAATAGCTAACAAATCTCTTAGAAAGTTTTGGATCATACATGGTAGGTTGCTGTACTAGGCTACACATGGAACTCACCAGACTCAAGAATCCAATTGATTCATGATGATTCATGATTCAACATGTCTTGTGGTTGATGTGAGAACTGGGGACAAGGAACAGTTAGGATGGCAAAGCCAGGTTAAAATGAAGTCCCAGCAGTGCCTTATCTAGCATCAATACAAGTGGAGGAGCGAAGGGGGAATTTATTCATTTTTTGTATATCTCTTTGCTAAACAGATACGTACCTAATAACTAACCAGAACAATGGAAAGCACAGGGAAAACAAATAAAAAGGATATCCAAGATGTGCCACAAAGGGAAGCCAAACTGCCCCTCAGTGAAGCGCTTCTAGACTACCAGTAAGTTTGTATTTTGAAATCTTTATTTATGTAAATATAATCATTGTTAAAATTTATGTAACTCAAGATGTAAATGATGCACTTAACAAATGCCAATAAAACAGAGATGGATTGAAGATTTAATTAAATGGTTATGCTATGCACATATTTTTAAAGTTTTTTTTAAAAAAAAACTTTGAATATAACATAGTCCAAGTCATATCTATAAAATAGCATTCATGGATGTGGTTTTGGCTCCTTGCATTGAATAAGTGGTCACTCTCTGCTAGACATGCCACAGCTGGCTTACCTCTTAAAATACAACATGGGAGGGTTAGGGGACATTTATAGACCAAAAGGAGAAGACATTTCCCTATATTTAACTTTCAGTTTCTCAGACATTCCAACTTACATTATTCCTAAGTGACGACAGATCAAATCCAAGTGATTCAGAATTATTTAATAAAGAGGACATTTCATAATGTCTCACTACCAAGCATTGGAGATAAAACTAGAGGTGACGTTTTTGTTTATGTTTTATTCCAACAAATAGGGAGAAATCCCTTGAGGGCTTGTGAACCTCACTTTTGTTAGGGAATTAATAAGTATCAGTCTTTTCTTAAATAAGACTGACATTCCTTTATTTATTTTCTCATTCACTCAGTACTTGAGTGTTTATCATGTGCAAAGCAGGTGCTTGGTATTGGAGGACAATGAATAGGACCACTTGGTCCTGTTGACCTGATGAAGCATAGAAGACAAACATTTTACATAATTACATATATATATTGCTATAAGGAAGTACTGTGGAAGGAAAGTATAGGGTGCTGCTCAATGTTGTAACTAAAGGACTCGACCTAGTCAGAGGGATTTAGAAAAGCTCATGTAAGGAAGCTAATCTCTGGAAAAGGAGAAAGCACCATGGAGACAATACTTTTGGAAAGATACTATCTGGCAAAGACCTTACCACTGTCCAGGAACTGAGAGAATGGAGAGTGAGGGGGAGAGAGCCAGGGCAGACACCAGTGATTTAAGCAAGGAAGACCAAGCAGACACAAGGAATTTAGAAATGGGAAGTCATTTTTGGAGGGGTATGAGGTTGAACATGGGAAACTTATGATATTCAGCTAGGTCTTTGTTTAAGAGAATTGTTTTTAACAATGATCAGGGAAAATTTTATCTCCTTCCCCTTGAGAGACTCCAAATGTATTCATACCTCTTTTTTTTTTTTTTTAATAAGGAAGTGAGTCAAAGAGTCAGAACTCTAGGACAGAAACATCCACTGGAAGGGGTTTTTAACAGTTTCCCTTTATTTTCTATCTGCAGTAACATTAAATAATAACCAGATACTATTTGTACTGATTTTTTAACATACTGAAAACATCTTTTATCTCATCTTAGGAGAAGTTACAAAATGGCTTTGTGAACACAACCTGGTCTCTAATTTATTCCCATGGTTTATAGGGAGGACATCCAGTTATAACTGTTTCTCTTTCTTTGGGATCAACCAGAGGCCGACTTTCTTCTCTTTAACACATGTTTATAAGGAGACCAATATTGAAGAATTCTCATAATCTAGTGACAGATATAAACTGAACATCCCATGCCTTTGTTCTCTTTTATTTGTTAAAACTTAATAAATAATCTAATGCACTGGAACAACCAGACTTGCTGTACCGTGCTCTGCTGATGACAGATTACTCATTCCATGTGTTCCAATATAAGAGAACTTTTGTCATGTGACCAGTAGCTGAGCCACCTCCTCTCACCATCTAAAGAAGGATTGTCCAGGGATTTTCTTGCAGCATCTTTTATTTCTCATTCCATCTATTTTCTAAGGATATAGTAAGCACATAGTCAATTAATGGTTTTTAACAATTGAACTTTTAGAAATAATCTGAATAATAATGTTTTTTCTTCCTTTACACTTGTTTTTATACAATGAATATGGTTATAGATATAGAAATAGGTATGGATTAGTTGTGGGTAGAAAAAATTGATTATATATAGGGTTTTTTAAAAAGTAAAGTATATTTGGCTGGTTGATTTGGGGATTTGTGTTTTCATTGTTGATCAAGCAGTTAGAATATTTAAGGTGAGAAGAAAATATGATAATTAATTTCTGCTTGGCTCCTTCAACAAACTCTGAACTCCGTAAAGACTGTATTTTATAATTCTTTGTATCTCTTGTGCTTAGCACAGCTACTACATAGTCTAAGTTCAGAGCTTCTTTCTTGAGTAAATATTATTGAAGCTTGTTTGAGAGCAAAATCACAATCATGAAAACAAAGATATTATTTTTACCTATCTGTATGGGAAAAAAATTTTAAAGTGCTAATCCTTAATGGAAAAATGCTTACCAAGAAACAGGCATGATTTTACCCACTGGTGAATGTAGATAGTTTAATTATTGCCAAAACATTGACAATAATAGCAATAACTATAAAACAAACCTGTCCTTTGATCAGGTAACTCCATGTATGTTGGAATGCTCTTCCAAGAATATGAGGTTGTGAACCTCTGACTTTTTGTGAAAGGCTGATACTGTCAAAGCTAATTCTGTAAAGTGATCATCTCTAAGAATGAATACTTTTATTTTCTCCTTTATAGTTGTTTCCCCTCACTTTTCTACAATGAAAATGGATGGATATAGATATAGGAACAGATTTGTGTATAGTTATAGGTTTAAAAATATTGGATTTTTTTGAAATTCAAATTCATTTGTTTTCCTTCCCGAAATTTTCAAAGAAATTTCATGGAGGAAAAAAGTTGACACATAACTAACATTTTAATAACACAGGGAGGGAAGGGATAAGGTGACACATTTTATTATCAATGATTTATTATCATTGTACTTCAGAATAGTGCTGTATCCTTTTCAAACCAATTTAATATATATTGGTTTATCATCCCACTTGATTCAGCATTTATAGTGATAAGTGGGATACTAGGGTGCTGATGACAGAGATATGAGAAGGAAAATTTAAGATCAAATTCCATAAGGTAGCTAAGAATATGGAGTTCTGATGTTTAAGCCTACATGCTTCCTGGTAAATCCATCTCTTCCTGGGAAAGTCGAAGTGGATTCCAGAGAGATCCGGCTCAGTTAGTCCTGCAATAATTAGCAGGGGGCCACAAGGGGGCCAGGGAAGCTGCCAAAACATTTAGGGCTTCTCAGAATTCCTCAAGGCCTGTTGACACTGCTCCAACCATCCTAAAGATGCTCACCACTAAATGAACATTGAGACAAAGTCCTAGGTCATTGGCTCCTAAATGCTCTGAGGGTAGGGATGATAGGCTTAAGTGTCAGGTTGCTAGATGTAACACTTAAAATATATATAATGCCAGATTAAGTTGGAATTTCAGATAAACAACAAATAACTTTTTTTTTTTTTAACTATAAGTATATCCCATGCAATGTCAGAGGTGGGGTTGGATTTGGTTGCTAGCCTACTCATTGCGTGTTCAGTCATCACCAAGTAAGGCTCTCAGCTCCAGCCACGAGTCAGCCTATTAACAAACCCATCCAAAGACTCAATCTCAAGCAGTGGAGGTCACATCTCTGAGGTTCATTTGCTTATTACATCCATACAGAAAAGTAATAGTACATTTATAATGGCAGAAATTACGCAAGTAATTTGCATGTTTTTATATTCTCATTTCAGATAACTTTTATTTACAGTACTTTAATTTTTCTCCTTAATTGTGGGAGATAGAGAAGGCATTCTTTCACAGTTTTTGCACATTTAAGCTTTAAATAAGAAGTAAAGTTTATATCATGTACAACCAGATGAATGAGAAGTTATACTCCATTTTGTTTATAATGTGTGAAAACTGCATCCTATGGTCATGTATAACTAATTAGAATAAGTAAAAATATATATTAAAATAAGTAAATAAGAAATAAAAATTGGCTTTTACTTAAGGCATATTTCTTACACTTGTGTGGAACCTAGTATTATAGTAGTTCCTTTCACTTACTGTCCTTTTCATGTCCTGATAATTTTCCCCATAGTATGGATCACAATGTATAAATAATGTAGTTTTATACTTACTTTTTTATTATGTAGTAGACTGTACTCCCTGAGGGCAAGGATCAGGAAGTTTGTGTTAAAAACTATCTCTAACACCCAAAGCAATGCTGGGCACTGGAGGCAGCTCACAGAATCTGTTGCACAGACGACTGCAAGAAAAGGAGCATTGGTCAACATAAATTGTAAAAATCTGAAACTCAAAGGAACCACCAAGCTCATCTCCTTTAATCTTGCTTACAAAAGAGCAGCCAAGGCCTAAATAGGTTAAGTTTCCTTTGTCAGTTATTGGGAAACGAGGACTAAATCCAAGTTTCACAGTATTATCAAATGCAGATTTTTGCCACTAAAGGATTTATTGTTTGGGTTTTATATTACATTTTCTTATCACTTAGAAGAAAGGAAACTTATTTTTCTCTCTGCTAAGTATACAATGTTACAATATAAATGATACTTTAGAGAGAAGATTGACAGGATGTCAGATTTAGAATCAACAGGAATTTATAAGTACTTTATTCTAGAAATATTCACACATGATTTCTTACTTTAATCATCACAATAATATGTGGAACTGGGTATTGCCACCATCATTTAACAGCTTGGAAATTTAGGCCCCGAGACTCTGAGAGACTTTCCTATGATCAAGAAAGGACAAGATATAAAACCAGAACACCTCATTCTTTAACCACCGCTCTGTCCACCACACCAGAGGAGCTCTGGTTTTGCTTTTGTTTTGCTTTGAATGGAGGCAAGGATCTTAGGTGAAGCTATTTGTGTTGCCTTATTATGGTCTCACATTTAAAGTTATGATTTACTAGATAATAATGATATAGAGATGTACTAGCACTTCAGATAGCCTGTACTAAAGTCTTCCTGCTCATTTCTCTCTTATTCATACCTAAGAAATATTCAACAAACACTTTTTGGGGTTTTAAAGAAAAGTCTTTGTTCAGGAAAGAAGCTTTTATTATTTGTAGACAAGATAGAGCACTATTGAACTTGATCCAATAGGCACTCCTAAATTACCTTAGTACTTCAAGATGTGCTTGCCCCGAAGTATCTTGGTTTTGTCATTTTTGTCTCAATGTTTTAGAAATTCTAGAAAGCATATTTTCTGTGCCCTATCCTATGTTTTCTTTGAGCTGAATTATTTATAGATAATTAGAAAGTATAGAAATTACATCCATAAAGCTGGGCATGGTGGCACACACCTGTAACCCCAGCAGCTAGGGAGGCTGAGACAGGAGAATCAGAGTTCAAAGCTAGGCACTAAGCAACTCTGTCAGACCTTTCTCTAAATAAAATACACAATAGGTCTGGGGTTGTGGCTTAGTGGTCAAGTGCCCCTGAGTTCAATCCCTAGTATCCAAAACAACAACAACAAAATTAGATCCATGAAATATGACCAGTAATTAATTCTTTAAAAAAAAAACCTTGAAATTAAAGAATTAAATAGATTCAAAATCCAAAATCATTTAGGAAACGTTCTTTTCCCTAAATGTTTTTTTTTTTAATACCAGGAATTGAACCCAGGGGCACTTTACTACTGAGTTACATCCCCAGTCCTTTTTATTTTTTAATTTGAGGCAGGGCATTGCTAAATTACTTGGGGCTTTGCTAAATTGCTGGGACTGGCATCAAGCTTGTGATCTTCCTGCCTCAGCCTGGATGTCACTGGGATTACAGGCATATGCCACTGCACCCAGCCCTAGGTGGGTATTTGTAATAAATTTAATAATTTACTCAAATTCAAATAGTTTAGTTTAATTTTAAAATTATTCATTACTTTTTCCTAAGGTAAATACTTATAACACAACTTATTTTTGTTTATTATCAGCTGTCAAATAAAGGAAAATGCAGTAGAAAGACTCATGTTTCAAATAAAGAAGCTTAGGGAAAAGAACCAGAAGTATCATGAAAGGGTGAGTATAAAACTTAGAGCTAGCTTCATGTAGTTATTAAAAATGTACATGCATGCCATGAAAAATTGTGAATTATGGTGAAATACATCCTAGGAAATTATCTTCTTCAAAGCTTGTAATTGATTTATAATTCACGTAAGTTCTTTGTATATGTGAGAGAAGAGGATTCCTATTGTATTGATTATAATGTTAGCTTAATAATGTCATTTTGATCATAAGGACAATAGTTTAAAATTTTAAAGCTTTGGAAGCACATTTTACCTTTTGACTTCTTATTTAATCAAACCATAAACAGTGTTTCTCTACTTGCAATATCTGAATCTTCTAGATTTTTGGTGTTCATGTTTTATATATAAATACCTTTTTAAAAGTATGATCTTGATTGTTAAATGACTAATTGGACATTTAAGGTGGCACATTTTATAAAATCAGATTAAAATGAGTATCAAAGAGGTTTGAGATAGTTTATCAGGACTAAAGATCAACAGAAATAAGATTTGGAAGTAGCAAATTATAACTAGCACAACTTACTTCTCAAAGTATCTCATGAATGAGGAAATACTAAGGTATTTGCATATTTATTTTTTATAGGAGTGAAACTTCCACAGTTAACTGTTTTATTTGGCTTTTCTTTACAAATGCTATATCTTCAAACTTTAATGCAACCTGAAGTCGGAGATAGAGACCTGAGCTTGCATTGTGACTGTACAACTTACTGGTGATTTCTTTTTAGCCAAAATTGTTATGAACCTCAATTTCCCTCTTACAAAACAGGGATTCCTCTTTCTCCCACAGGGTTAATTTTTTTCATTCATTCAGCAAATGTTTATTGGACAAGTCCTGGTGGTGATACAGCTATGTCTGTAATACTGTCACAATTCTCTAGGATCTGTATCTTTTGGGGGAGGGCAGGTAAAAGTAATTGAATCCAGGGGTGCGTAATCACTGAGCAACATCCCAGCCCTTTTATTCTATTTAGAAGCAGGGTCTCACTGATTTGCTTAGGGCCTCACTAAGTTGCTGAGGCTGGCTTTGAACTCATGCTCCTGCTGCCTCAGCCTTCAAAGCTGCTGGGATTATAGGCATGCACCACCACATCTGGCAAGGATCAGTATTTCTAATAGGGACTAAAACAGAAACAGGTCTATGGCTAAAGGTGGAGAGGAAAAATCTGGTCTGGGTGCTTGGATACAGGTTCCATATATGAGATCCAAAGCACAAAGAGGAGAGAGCTTCCATCAAGAGATCAGTGCACATCCTCTAGTGCTCAGCAATGGGGCTCCAAGGACAGGACTAGGTTATGGAACGTACAACAGATCAGTATGGAGTCATCTCTTTGCCCATTAGCCCATCATTTAGAGGGTTAAACAGATGAAGTTCTTGTTTCCAAGATGATTAGCTTAAGAATGAGACTGACCAAAGTGTGCACATTAGAATACCCATCAGGGAGGAGTAATGAAGGGACAGACTCTAGCTCCAACTGCATGTATCTGAACGTCAACATTTCTTTCCACTTCTGTGGCTGATGCCCCAATCTAAGACACCATCATCTCTTGCCCATCCTTCCCCCTCCAGTACAATTTCCACATGCAACCAGAATTACCCTGTAAACCTTCCTATGCTTAAAACCCTTGAGTGACTTCCAATGAAAAATAAAATCTATCAAACTTACTAAAAATCTTCAGGTCCCTGGAAAAACCTGACCCCTGCTCACCTCTAAATTTATCTCCAGTTGATTCACCCTTTGCTCATGATTGCTCCTTTTAAATCTTGGAAAAGCAAACTCTCTCTTTTTTCTTTTTCTTTTTCTTTTTTTTTTTTGGTACTCCATTTTCTTTCCTCAGCAAACTTTCTTTCTCTTTTGTTTCCTTTTTTTGTTGTAGTGTTTATGACTCTTCAAAAGAAATAACATTAGCAATTTAAATCATTTTGTAGTACATGTTCTTTTATTTTTCTTGGTAGATTTCATCCCTCAGATTTTATATATATATACACATACATACATTACATACATACATACTGGGTATTGAACTCAGAGGTGCTTGATCATTGAGCCACATACTCACCCTATTTTGTATTTTATTTAGAGACAGGGTCTCACTGAGTTGCTTAGTGCCTTGTTTTTTGCTGAGGCTGGCTTTGAACTCTTGATTCTCCTGTCTCAGCCTCCCAAGCTGCTGGGATTACAGACATGCACCACTGCGCTTCGCATGTAATGCTCTTTTAATTTACAAATGAAAAAAATCACAGGCCTGAAAAGGATGGTCATTGTGTTTAAATTTTGATTTAAGAGAACTGGATTCACTTGGAGACTTTTGTGCCAAGTGTGGAAAATAAAAGGCAAATTTATTTGTATGTATACGTATTTTATGAATTTTAGATAGTGGGTTTTTTTTTTTCCTTCTTTCTCTTTCTTGGTGCTGAAGATGGAACCCAGGGCCCTGCCCATGTTCAGCACTGCCCTATCACTGAGTTCTTCCCCTAGCTCCTGTGTATTGGTTTCTTAATTAGCACTGGCTTTCGAAAATGTTGGTGTATATATCTGGTAATTTTTTTTAGAGCTGGAATTGAATTCAGAGGCCATTGTGACTTTATTAAGTAAAATCAGATATGCTTACTTAGTTTTCAAAACATATATGATAGAGGAATTTTCTACTTGTACAAAAATAAGTGAAAAATTCCATATTTGGAAAAATATTAGCAGTGTAGTAGTTTGGCAAGGGATATTTCCATTGCTATCATTTATATTTGCTACAAATATTTCATTTTAAAATAACCTTATGTCAACTCAAAGTAATTCAGTTTAGTTTTAATTAAAAAACATGAATATTTCATTCAAGAAAAATGGAGTATCTGAAAATTGGTTAAAGAGTAATACTTTGTGTATTTTTCATTGTTAATGTGATTGATTCACCTAGTTTTCTATACCATATTACAAACCTGTAGTTCTGTATCACAACTAGAATATTGAATATTGATATTCTAAAAAATATAGAGTTTATTTAGACATAAAGAAAAGTGAAATTATGTCATTTGCTGGATAATGGATGGAATTACAGACCTTTATGTTAAATGAAGTAAGTCAAACTCAGAAGGTCAAGGGTCATATATTTTTTCTCATATGCAGAAGTTAGAGAGGAAAAAGGAAAAGAAAGGTAGAGATGGATATCATGGAAATCAAGGGGAGATTTAACAACAAATTACATCATTATATACAATTATGTACAATATAATGCACCAATAAAAATGTGGAGAAAAAACGTTTCCATCACCAGGAGTGTTCCGTATGCTGCCCTTGTATAGCCATTCCTTCCACTTCCACTTCTACTCCCTCATTAACCCCTGGCAACCATTAATCTATTCTCTATTTTTACTTTTTAATTTCAAGAAAATCATACAAATGGAATCATAAGAAACCTTTTGGGATTGGCTTTTTCATTTATCACAGTTCTCTCGAGATTTACCCAAGTGGTTTTGTGTATCATGGTTTATTCCTTTTGATTGTTGACTAGTCTTCCATAATATGCATGATTCACAGTTTGCTTAACCACTCAACTGGAGGTTATTGGAGCTGTTTCCAGATTGGCTATTACACATAAAGCCAATAAAAACATTCATGTGCAGACATTTATGTGAACATAAGCCCTCATTTCTTTGGTTTAAATGCCCAGGATTTAAGTTGCTGGTTAGGATGATAGTACATGTTGCTTTTTTAAGTAACTGCCAAATTTTTTCAGAATGACTGTACAAAATTTGACATCCCAGTAGCAATATACCAATGAACCAGTTTCTCCTCATCCTTACCAGAATTCAATGATGTCATATGTATTTTAGCCATTCTGATAGGTGGGTAGTGAAATCTCATTGAGGGTTTAATTTCTGTTTGCATAATAGATAAAGATATTGAACATCTTTTCACATGCTTATTCGCTAACCATATGTTTTCTTTGGTGATATTTATTTTCACATCCTTTTAAAAAATATTTTTGGTTGTAGATGAACACAGTACCTTTATTTATTTATTTATTTATTTTTATATGGTGCTGAGGATCAATCCCAGTGCCTCACACATGCTAGGCAAACGCTCTACCACTTACCTACATTCTCAGCCCCTATTTTCATGTCTTTTGCCAATTTTATAATTAAACTTTTTCACTATAGTTTTGATAATATACACACACACTCACACACAAATAATAATGTATTGTTTGTGTACATGTGTTTGTGTGTGTGTCTGTGTGTGTGAGAGAGAAAGAGAAAGAGAGACAGGAAGAGAGAATAGAGGATCTTCTAAATACCAGTGCCTTGTTAGATATATTACTCAAAAATATTTTTTTTCTTTCTATATTCCCCCTCTCCCCACAACTGGGGATTGAACCCAGGGCTTTGCACATGCTAGGGAATTGCTTTCTAATGACCTACAAACCCAACCCCTGCAAATATTTTCTCTCAGACTATAGCTTGTCTTTTATCCTTATGAAAGAGTAAAAAAATAAGGCCTAATTGATCAGTATTTCTTTTTATGGATCATGCTTTTGGTGTCAAGTTTAAAAACCCTTTGCCTAGCTCTAGATCCCCCAAATTTTCTCCTATGTTTTATTCTAAAGTTTTTATAGTTTCACCTTTTACATTTAAGTCACAGTCCACTTTGAGTTTGTTTTGCATAAGGTATAAAACTGAAATCAAAGTATTTGGTTTTCTGTTGTGTTTTTCTTTTTGCCTAAAGATTTCCAATTGTTCCAGTACTATTGGTTGATAAAGCTATATTTCCTCCACTGAACTGCTCATACATCTTTGTCAAAAATCAGTTTGAGCCAGGTGCAGTGGTGCGTGTCTGTAATCACCAGTGGCTCAAGAGGCTGACACAGGAGCATCACAAGTTCAAGACCAGCATCAACCACTTAGAGAAGTCATAAGCAACTTAGTGAGACTCTGTCTCAAAATAAAAAATAGAGCTGAGGATATGGCTCATTGTTTAAGCTCCCCTGGGTTCAATTCCT